TACTCCGGCTATACAATTCCATATACTACTCAATTTGCAAAAAATTTCAACATCAGGAGTAATTCACTTTTTCGTAGATAGAAAAAAGGCACACAGGCAGACCAAGGTCACCTTGTAAGAGACCAAAGAAAGAAAGCTGCAACAAACACTTCCTTGCCTTTCTTTACTAGGGTTTCCCCAATAGTCTTAGAGACCAACAGTTTAAAAATAAAAAATTTGTTTATTGAATGAAAAATATAAATTGGTTAAAAATAAAGATGCAATGAAATATTTCATTCTAGACTTAGATGTAAATTTTATATTTTAATAATTATTAAAAAAAGTATTTCATGATTGTTGCAAGTGTCAAAGGTATTCCTTGATCCACTTTCGAACTGACTTGATGTCCTTGTCAACCTTTTCTTTGGTATCTTTGTCAAAGGATGGAAGAGAGCTGTAAAATTTTAAGAGAATTGATAATCATCCCGTGTCACTTTTCTAACAGGTGAAAACATTAGATGAATTAAACTAAAGAAGAAAGCTTTTTATAAAAACACCACTTTGAACAACAAAACAAAAGTAAAAGAATGAGAAAAACAATCATGGTTTCCTCATAATATTATGCATGTTTGCACACATCATGACGCATGCACTGAGAGGTGTAATTGAGACACACCCCTCGATTACTGCTAATCCATGAGTATGTTTAGAACAATACCCATACCTTCTAACGGCTTTAGATTTGAGCACGAGGAGGAGGACGAGGACGAGAACAAGATTTTCTCAATACTAAGAGCCTGTTTACATGGAGGTAGGGGACCCCAGATAGGTGAGGTAACATGTGGCTTGTAACCCCACCTATCATGTAAACGTGATCAAATTAAAATGAGAGATCATATGGACAGGCGGGTTACCCCACCTAAGCGGGTTACCTTACCTATCTGGGGTACCCCAACTCCATGTAAGAAGGCCCTAAGTAGTGCATGGGCGCGAACCAACGTCATTTTGGTCGGAAAATGTGGTAGCCGTCGTCAGTCTAGCTACTGCGAATTTTAGCGAGAATGAGCGAGAATGTAGTAGAAATCTTATCAATTAGCGATCGGGAGATGGCTTAACCTCCTTCAACGGAAATAAGCGTGTTAACTTTTGTGGTGAAAAAAAGTACAATGAAGCTTTGCGAGGTGTCTATTGTAGAGAACAGGCGAGAAAACTTAAAATTAAATGTCGTCCTCGTCCTCAGATCTAAAGCTCTCTATTAAAAAAGGCAAACGCCTTTTAGCTACACCACCACGGTGGTCATTATGAGACGGCAGGGGTGTACACTTGCGACTTGATGCTTGCACTTGCCTCCTCTCCACACAATAAAAAACCAAAGAAAAAGTATAGGGTGAATTGTGACAAAATGACTTCGAAAAAAGAGTGGATAAAGTTTATCAGTTTTTTCAATAGTTTTTAATTCTAGAACATTTATATGTGCATGCAGTGTAATTATAGTATGTCAATAAAACACAAATCAGATTTTTAGAACAAAAATGTTACAAAGCAAAGTGAGTATGTGATATCAATTTATTCACCACTCTTTTTAGAGGGGGTGGGGGTACACATTCCCCTAGTTTGAATTTGAAAACCCATTGTTTCACGTATTGTGGAGGAAGCCTCGTCCCTGTTGGTATCTTCCTATTGTATTTGTGATTGTCTTCATCGCTGTCCAAGTCTCAAATCATTTATGTGTTGTTTGTCGCCATTTCATCTGTCTTATGTTGCTGTTTCAAGGCCGTGTCGCTTGTCAGAATATTATTGTACCCTAGCAGCAGGGCCTCACAGTGGAAAGGTGACTACAGTGGAACCCCGATATAATTAACGATCCTCGATATAACGATGTTCCCGGTATAACGATCGATATTAGTAGTATAGGGCGCACCGAATTAACCCCTTTTTTGGGGGGGAATCTCATTAAGGTGGGGGGGAATAAATTAACGCCAATGACGTCATAACCTTTTGTCCTCATCTCATGAATAAAATGCTGTGGTATCTCATTAACTTGCGGTGGAATCTCATTAAGTATATCCAGTTTGACGGGTTTATCAATGATGTCATGTTCTATTTTTATCTTGTGGCGGTCATGGTTGGTATAACCGGTTTGACAGGTTAGTTATTTTCGGAAGATGATGTCATATGTATTCCGGGGTACTATGATATCATAGTTGTTTTGATTGGTTGAACGGAATTAGAAAGACGCTCATTGGCTGTCTCGTTTGACGAAGCATTCTGGTTGGTTGCCGTATTTTTATTGTTTGAACGGCATAAAAGCCTGCTCACTGCCAAGCGCATCATTCACACATTGTGAGTAAGTTGAGTGCGAGTAGTCATGGCTTTCAACCAGTTCACCACTTTGGAAGAGTTTGAAAATTTCATCTGGCACAACGAGATACCAGGCGATCGGATGTTGGATCGAATGATGACCTTAACATTTCCAGAAGAGGTACGTTATTAACGTTTGAATGTGATTGAGTGATAATTTCCTTTAGTAACATGTAGTTCCATTCCAGGATCAGTCTTCCAACATTCGCTTGGTGGATTCCATTATTCCACCCGAAGTGATGGACCCATGGAGCGATTGGGAGAAAGAATTTGAAACGGTATGAGTCCTTATTGAAATGTTATAGCATAACTATTGTCCGTCGTACTAAATCAATTTCTGTTGTTGAAATTATTATTCCATTACACTTTTTCAGGAACCTTCTTCCAACCAAGTTCAGAGCGGCATGGGTAGAAAAAGAGCAGCACAGGTAAGTGTTTTAGTAAGTACTTTATTTCTCTAGCTTGTCAAGGTAGTTAATATACGATTCATTTGATGTTTTAGGATGATGTAGACATACCTCCTGCCAAAAGTGCTCGGCATGCATGTGAAGCGTGTGGAAAAGTTTTCACTCGACCAGATAAATTAAAACGCCACGAAAAAACACATACCAACGAAAAACAACATCAGTGTGATAAGTGCGACAAGAGCTTTCATCGAATGTCACACTTGCAGCGCCACGTGAAACAAGTTCACGAACGCCGAGCGGCTCAGCGGGAGTATGAGTGTAGTACCTGTGGAGAGACATTTTACAATCTGGCTCCATTCCGAGCGCACCAGCAAACAGCTCATAGTAAACCCTCTTTAAGTAAGAAACGTCCAAGGGACGAGGAAACAGGTAGGAAGCAGTGAACTTTTCTGTTGTATTTCAGTAAGATAAAATTATATTTTGTGTCAAGGATTAGTCGTAGGTGACTTTTTACTTGCTTCTTGCAACACAATAGAGGCTATGGCATGTTTGAACATGTCTTTTGTTTGAAAGCTGCACCGTATGCAAATTTGAGGTGAAGGCAGTGGAGTGGAACAATTGGATTAGTCGTATGCAAAGTTTAGCCGTGGGATGTTAAAACAATAGAGGCTAGAGTATGTTCGAACATAGTTATTAGAGGAGACTGGTTATGAAAAGCGGCAAACATCAATGATAAAAACAGCAGTGCTGCAGTTTATGTTCAAAGCACCGTGAAAGTGCACAATCCTTTGTTTTCTGATGGCAAATTGTTACGGAATAAATTAATGCAACGTTTTTATTGGTCAATACAATCAAAATGATAGGAATTCTTTTGAACGTTGTGCACTTTCAGGTCCACAAAAACATATAACAAAGGAGTCTGACGGGTTTCATAACCATTCCACTCAATTAACTATGGTTCGAACAAGTCTTTGGTTTGCCTTTGTACAGAGGCTTAGCACAACATATTTTAGACATGATGGAACAAAACTTTTGTTCAGAGAGTGAATCCTACACAAATGTTAGGTAAAAGCAATGAAGTGGAAAAAAATTGGATTAGTCGTATGCTAATTTGAGTATGTTAAACAATACATTGTATAAACAACTCGTTTGTGTTTCTGGATACCTCGTTTGGATTTGGGAATAGACATTGGAATTTTTATTTCCCATTTAGAGCCAAAACCCAAGAAAATGAAGCCCAATCCTATCGAGAAAAAAGCAACTTCAAGTTCTATCTGGCAGGAAGAGCCAAGATCTATCGCCGATCTCCCTGAAGCACAACAAAGTTATGTTCTCGAGTACCGTCGCCACTGGCATCAAATCCGCACTCGTTTTAGCCGCCAAAACCGGCTACTGGACTGGTATAACTATCGTCTGTCTTCCCCACAACCTCAAGAGGTTATACAGCACCTTGACGAGATCTTTACCGACCAGTCCACAGTGTTTAAGCTGAATGTGTCTTTTGGTTTCATTCTACGCAACAATCAGACTGGAGCACTGCAATATTATTATGCCTCCAGAAATAATGAGCAAGTCTTTGAAGCGCCCTTTCAAATTACCACGGCAGCAGATCTTCCACATGTCCGAGAAGCATTGTTAAACCTTGACGTCTTGGAATGGGTACGCCAGCGACGCCCCAACTCCAAATGGGTTGTAGAACAGGTGACCAATATCACTTTCTTCGTCATCAAGCTACGAGGCCATCCGATAGGGAGAGGTCAAAGTCTGCCTCACTACATCGTGGAAAATCGTGGTATTGATGCCTTGGATAGCAACCGTCGGACCGGTAAAATCTACGGCGACAATTTGTGCTTCTTCCGTGCCCTGGCTCTCCATAACGGTTGTCACCCAAAGAATCTGGAGCGGGATGCGAAGCATTACTATGAGAAATATCGAGAATTTTTTCCTGAGAGAAAGAAATTTTGTGGTGTAAAGCTGAAAGAACTGATCGACCTAGAACACCTATATGAAGTCAATATCTTTGTATATGCATTGGAGCCCACCAAACAAGATGGAGAAGAAAATGAAGACGATGAACCCAATGATACCAAGCCAGAGATTGCCGCTGAGCTGATCCATCGATCTCTTTGCCACTATCCAAGTACCCTCTACCTTAACCTTTACCAGCGCCATTTTTCCTACATTAAAGATTTGAAGAAATACACCAAATCTTACTGCTGCTCTCGATGTGGGAAATTCTGGAAACATGTGGGTATGTTACATCGTCACGAGAGAACCTGCGAGGCTAAAGTCCATTACACATTCCCTGGCGGTGCGTACAAGACACCACCCACTATCTTTGAGCTGCTCGAAGATGAAGGCTTCACCATTCCACCACATTTAAAGTACTTTCCATACAGAGCCACCTTTGACTTCGAATGCATGTTTAATCGTCAGACTGGCCTAAATAACACCAAAAAACTCACCTGGAACGCCAAGCATATCCCTCTAAGTGTCAGTGTCTGCTCTAATGTCCCAGACTACGACCACCCCAAGTGTTTTGTGTCAACTGGGGACTCCAAACACCTCGTCAAAGAGATGATAGACTACCTAGTGGAAATCAGTCAAAAGAGCTCCGACCTGATGAAGCAAGAGTTTTCATTCCTATTTGAAGCGATAGACCAAAAGCTAGAAGAAATAAAACAAAAGTCAGAACAACAGACCGGAGAGAGTGGTACAGACGTTAGCGTCCAAGAAGATAGCGATGATGAAGGAGAAGATCTTATGGAGACCGATGATGAAGAAGAAGACATAGAATCTGAGACAGAAGAAGATCGTGCCTTCCTGGATGATGAAGTGGAAAGTGAGCAAGGTGCCTCGTTTTACCGAGCTTTAGATCGAGAACGCGAGAACCAGAGTGATGATGAAGAGTATGTGGATGATAAACCAGAAGCGAACCATCCTGAACCTCAGAAGAAAAAAGTCCACCCCTTAAAGAAGCTGAGAGGGAGATTCGGGGAATACCTGGAAGAACTCCCGGTTCTTGGTTTCAATTCTGGAAAATATGATTTGAATGCTGTGAAAGAATTTCTCTTCCCTTCCTGGTCCAGAATGAGCAAGTACAGTTCACCATAAAACGTAACAACAATTTCATGTGCTTGAAGACCGACCACCTTCGCTTTCTCGATGTCACCAACTTTCTTGCTCCTGGGTTCAGCTATGCCAAATTCCTGAAAGCGTACGAATGTCCGCAAACCAAAGGTTTCTTCCCATACGAATGGATGGATTCGCTTGACAAGTTAGACCACCCTTCTCTTCCTCCTCACGACGCCTTCTTCTCTACACTGAAAAACGAAAACATCACAGAGCAAGAGTACCAGTACTGCCAACAAGTGTGGTCTGACAACAACATGCAGACATTTAAAGATTTTCTGATCTGGTATAACAACCTTGACGTCCAACCCTTCTGCGATGCCCTTAAAAAGATGTGCGCCTTTTGGAAAGACAAGAACATTGACATGCTGCGACAAGGAATCTCTATCCCCGGTGTCACCTTGACTTATCTGTTTACAACCCTGGAACCTGGCATTTTCTTTTCTCTCTTTGACGAGAAAAATAAAGATTTATACACCTTGTTCAAGAAAAATATGGTAGGAGGCCCCAGCATCATCTTCCACCGATATCATGAAAAAGACAAGACCAAGATCAGAGAGAGAGAGATAACAGATCAAGGCAAAGAACCAAAAATGTGCCAGAAAGTAGTAGGATATGACGCCAACGCGCTCTATCTCTGGGCCATCATGCAAAACATGCCCACAGGATCTTTTACGAGACGACGCGAAGAAACCAACTTCAAAAAAGAAAGCTCCATCAAGATGGCCACCGAGTGGTTGGAATGGAAAGCTGAGGAAATGGGACTTCGCATACGTCACCAGATGAACGACACGGAAAAACGCATAGGTGAAAGAAGGCTCCCAGTGGATGGTTTTCATGGTCCTTCACAAACAGTTTTCCAGTTCCACGGCTGTTGGTGGCATGGTCATAACTGCTACCTAACTAAAGGAAAGGAAATGAACGAAAAAAGAAAGAAACCAATGGCTGAGCTCAGGGAAGAAACTACAGCAAATTCAAAGTATATCAGAGATCAAGGCTACAATCTCGTGGAGATGTGGGAGTGCCAGTGGCGCCGAATGAAAAAAACTAACTCTGCAGTACAATATTTCATGAACAGAAAGTTTCACCGACCCCTTGACCACCTCCAGACCCTGGATCAAAATCAGATTATAAAAGCTATCAGAGACGAGTCTCTCTTTGGTGTTGTCGAGTGTGACATCACAGTACCTGACCATCTGAAACCCAAGTTCTCCGAAATGTGTCCAATCTTCAAAAATACGCAGATTTCTAAAGAAGATATTGGTGAATACATGCAAACCTTTGCCGAGGAGCAACATATCATGCCTCAACCTCGTAGAAGTCTCATAGGTAGCTATTTTGGAGAAAAGATCTTGTTGGCCACACCGCTCATTAAATGGTACTTGGAGCACGGGTTAGAAGTCACCAGGATTTACCAAGTGGTCGAGTACACACCCTTTCCTTGTTTCCAGCCCTTTGGAGAAGCTGTCTCCGATGCCAGGCGTGCTGGGGATGTGGACCCGAACAAAGCCATCATCGCAGATACAATGAAATTAGTAAGTATGATTTCATTTGTACAAGCATTTTGCCACTTTTTTCCTTATGCAAACCTTATTAATGTTCTGATACATTATTTATTAGGTCGGGAATTCCAGTTACGGGAAGACGATCAAGGACCAAGAACGCCACAGAGAGGTTAAGTTCTGCGAAGAAACAAAGGCCTCACGGCTTATCAACACACCCTTCTTCAGACAGATTGACCGGATCGAAGACAACACTTATGAAGTCCAGTCTTGCAAGAAAACAGTCAAGTTGAATCTACCCATGCAAATCGGATTTTTTGTTTATCAGTATGCTAAACTCAGAATGCTTCAGTTCTATTTTGATTTTCTTGACAAGTATTTAGATCGTAGTGATTTTCAGTATTGTGAAATGGATACAGACTCTGCCTATATCGCGATCGCGGGTCCATCAGTTGATAGTTTAGTCAAACCTGAGTTAAGGGCAGAATTTCAAAAGGATAAGTTTAACTGGTTCCCCAGAACCGATACACCAGAGAACAAAGCATATGATAAGCGAACACCCGGTCTTTTCAAAGAAGAATGGTCAGGGGAGGAATAATCGGTCTCAGTAGTAAAACCTATTATTGCTTTGGTTCCTACGATAAGTTTAGTTGCAAAGGAGTAAACAAAACATGTAATGATATCAATAAAGAAAAATATCTTAATGTTCTACTGACCAAACAAAGCAGTTCGGGACTTAACAAGGGTTTCCGTGTAGTTAATAACAGTATGTATACATACGAACAAGTTCGTGATGGTTTTTCGTACTTTTACCCCAAAAGAAAAGTATTGGACGATGGGGTAACCACCATTCCATTAGACATTTAACGCTGCTTTGTAAATAATTTCTTGTACATAGATTAGTTTTGTTCTTGGAACTGAAAATTTGTATAGAATTTCATTACTCACAAAGAGTTTTCAAACATTGTAGTGTGTGATTCATAAATAAAACTAAGTTGGCTGAAAAAAAAAAATGACTTGTTTCCTGACTCAACGCGCACGGCTTACACGCGAGAGCTCCACGCGCGCCCAGGGCAAAAAAACACAGGGCTAAAAAGGTGCCCTTTATGCCCTTTCTGCCCGATCTGCCCGATAAATTGTATGTTTCAAACAGTTTAGTTCAGTTTTAACCAACCTTTCAGAGGGGAAACATGAAGAGACTAAGATGTAAACATTGTCCGATTCCAGGTTGCGGGTCTAAATTTTTAGTTCGATTAGCAAATCATTTAACTCAAGTCCACGACTTATCGGAAATAGAACGAAAATATTGGCTTCAATTTGCAAAATTACAAAATACCAATGCGATTCGTGTGTATGACAAAGAGGCTGAACCCAAAACAGTTTTTCTATAAACAAGAGTGCATGCAGTTAAGTTAATCAGTTGTGATCATGGACCCGAGATGGAAACATCCTTTCCCCGCGCTTGTGGCCGGCCCCACTTGTTGTGGAAAAAGTCAGTTTGTCAAACACCTGTTGGAATCTGGAGAAGAATTAATAGACGGAGCTCCTGAAAATATCATTTGGTGTTATGGGTTATACCAACCGGCTTACGATGAGATGCTAAGGACTATTCCCAACATCACGTTCGTCGAAGGAGTTCCTGGTGATTTAGAATCCATGATAAACCCATCCATTCGGAATTTAGTGGTCATTGACGATTTAATGCAGGAGCTTAGCAATGATCAAAGAATTACCAATTTGTTTACTAAGGGATGTCATCACCGAAATTTAAGCGTTATTTTCATTCCTCAAAATATTTTTCACCGGGGAAAAGAACTGAGAGACATGAGCTTGAATTCGCATTACCTAGTGGTGTTCAAAAGCCCGCGTGATAGTAGTCAAGTCAATCATTTAGCAAGACAAATGTTTCCCGGTCATGTCAAATACATGCAAGAAGCGTTTGAGGATGCAACGAAAAGGCCCTATGGTTATTTATTTTGCGATCTTAAACCGGAAACACCCACCGACTTCCGGCTGCGTACGAATATTTTTCCCGGGGAGACTCAGTACGCTTACGTCAGAAAAGTATAAAAAAGCGTGAACCACATCACATTTCTTCAGTTGAGGATGGCACAGCGACTGAGAAAGAACCACGATTTTCTGAAGCTGCTTGTCAAGTGTACCCCAGCTCAGGGTAAAGCCATTTTGAAGGTGGCAGACGACGCTTTAGTAAGAACCATTTGTGAGTGTGTTTTAAACGTGCTTAAAGGAACAGTACCAGTCAGTAAGCCAGCCAAGAAAAAGCTTTTGCCTCACAAGAAATCTTTGATCGCTTTAGCCGAAAAACGTACACCACTCGATAAGAAAAAGAAATTGTTGGTACAACACGGAGGAAATTTTTTAAGTGTTTTGCTACCTCCCGTTCTCCGTGTGTTAAGTTCGATTCTTACCTAAAATGAATCACACAAAGCATATGGTTCTCGTGCCCGAGAACACCTTGGAAAGATTACAACAACGCCAGCAGATACTATCCCCACCCGTCACACAAACTCTGAGAAACTTGGATAGTGAAATGACCGAAATTTTGTCCAGTAAAGAACTTGATGATGAACAAAAAGCCAGGCTTTACAATCAAGTGTTGCAGCGTTACTTGACTTATTACGATCAGCGAAAAGGTCAACCTCTTCATGTGAAAATATCAACCCCCAAAGCAGTAGAAACACCTAAACCAGAAGAAAATGAACAACCTTCGGAAGAACCTGTCCCGGAAAAATTCACTTCATCAGCCGTAGAGGCAGAGGTCATGAAAAGTGTACCCAAAATTTACAAAGTCGGGGCTAGACAATTGTTGGATAAAATTAAAGAGCATCAAGATGTCTTACATTGGAATGATAAAGGAGAGCTTTTGTATGACACCAAACCCATTCCAGGTTCTCATCTGGTGGACCTAGTCAACGACACATTGCGCCACCGCAAAGGATTTGAACCAGTGGGATGGTCGGTGTTTGCGAGGGGTCTGGCCCGAATGAATGTCCCGGAAAATCTAGTGCGTAATCCACAGAGGCAAAGTGCTGTTCGAGAATTTAAAGCAAGGGTGAGAGACGAAACCCCTAACAGTCCTTCCCGTTGGCTACCTAGCCCATCTGTGACGGTATCCCCCGTGAAAAAACAGCGGCGAAGAAATGCGAGTCCGCGCCCTGAGGCTGTGCGCTGGTTACGGTTATAAAATCACCACAAGAGACATTATTATTATTATTATTTTTATTGTAAATCATCTCTTTATTTTGTTCACTCAATAAAAGATGTTGAAAAAAAAATTACAAGGTGTTTATTTATTGAACTTTGTGCTGGGCTTGTGCTCTTTGCTTGCTTACAAGCAAATAAAACGCCACCCAATGCGAACCTGGCTTGTCACTCGTGTCCACATTGGCGATAAACAGGGCTGGGTAATGTGAAACACTTGCAGGAAGCAGGTCTGAGGGATACACGCCTTGAAACACACCTCGTGTAAATTTATCCTTTCTCAAAATAAGGGTCAGTTGAGTAGTGTCCATTTTTAGTTTGTGTAGTCGAACAACACGTTGCGGTTCCCGTCAATTTCAATCACGTTTTGGGATTCAGCGTACACGATAAGGTTAACCGTATTGGCCAGTGGTTCCTTGAAATGAAGCTCAGCGCGCAGGTTACCTTGCTTTATTAGCTCAAAATGGTCACCTGAGCAGTGGTCTGGGGACAAGTCAAAGCAGAATGCTGTGTAACCAGAGCCATAATCGCTTCTACTGATCTGATTACCCGCATCTTGGGATAGCTTTCCAGTACCTGAGAACAGACTTTGATAGCCCGCTATTACATTTTGACCTCCAGCTTCGTCAAAATTCAAGAACAGGGGTTTCCGAGGAATTTGCTCTCCGTCCACATAGACACCCACTTGAGTTAGATTGTGGTGTTTGAAGTTGAACGGGTTGGTACTGTAAGTTCCATTATATGCCTGAGTATCCACTAAGACCAGCATGATTCGTTTGGGGATATGACCCAAAAAGATGTTGTCGGGGTTAAAACTTCTAAATCCTCTTGGAATAGACAGCACTTTACAATCTATTCGGCGAACCGGGTACTTGGCGCTGGAGTGTTTTAGTGCAGCAGAATGGCCAAGTATAATAGAAGAGGCCAATTTCACCTTGCGAACGAACAAGATGGCTTCTGTGATTACCACCTTGAAAGTTGGAGCGGCTGCTGATGACATCAGACAAAACGAGTTCTTGGCTCGGTTCAGTTTGATTCTTAAATTCACTCCATTTAGCATCAACCGGTCTTGAAAGAAAATGTCGCTATGAATGGGCCCCATCATATCCACAATATGACTTTCTTTAGTGAAATCATAGCGAACCTTTAACCCCTTGTTTGCGGCATCGTCTGCAGCCACAGGGTTGGCAACATCCATTTTTCCAGGGGTATCTTTGTAAAACATGGCCATAGAAAGTTGACTTGTCTTTGCTTCTTCTCCGTAGTTTAGCAAGGTTTCGATCATGGCGCGATAAGGGTAGGTATTGGTGGATGGAGAGATCAATCGCTCGTTCAAGGAAACGTTCACTTGCGAAAAAAGGGAATGTAAAAACAGGTTCACGGGACCTACTTGTGTATCGGCATCTATGGCGGTTCCATTTGCTTTTGTGATCTTGGCTTTCACAAATAACTGAGTACGTGCCAAGTCCAAATACTCATCTCCGGTTCCGGAAACATAAAATTCGATCGGACCACTGTCCGTGATGTTACTGATGGGGTGGTACTCGATCCATTGCCCTTTGGTGATAGAGGTTTGTGTTGCAGGAATCGTAAAGAGATCCAACTCTGATTTCGTACATTCCTGAGACTCGTGATGCACAAAGGCCATTCTATTCTTTGTCAAAAATGGTTTTCGATTTCTTCTGCTGTGGAGGTGTTTTTGCCTTCTTGCCCGGAGGCGAAGTGATCTTGGTTCCTTTCGCTTTTCTTTTTATAGATTTTTTGCCAGCTCCTGATTGTCCCTGCAATGAATTCTGGGAAGGTAAACCGAGGGCTTGTTTCGTGCGCTTGTGGACTGCTGTTTTAATGTTATCTCCGTCAAGAACATCTTGGACAACATTGACTCCTGTTTGTAAAGCCTTTTTTCCAATCACCTTAGCACCCTGTTGAAGGTGAGGCATCGCCCAGCGAAACAGGCCTCTGAATATGGACCCTAGTCCATAACCCCGCTGAAATCGAGCACCGTGAAACGCTGGTAAACTCCCACCTTTTTGTTTGGCTTGATTAACATAGTACTGTTCGTACAACTTGTGATTTGGAGTGTGGAGTTTTTTCATCTTTAAAAGTACTGAGGTGCACTTTGACGAAAATGAAGTGTTAACAACACTCTCCCAAACTCAAATGGTACAGACTCCCCTGTGTCTGTCTTTATATTGACTTCGAAAGTTTCAAATTGCTTTCTGCTGACAGGTAAATATTGGGGGCGCAAAAATGATTTACTGACTCGCTCCCCAACCTTTCCTTCTACAGGAACAATTCGAAGCAAAGGTACCAATGCATCTCCAACATATTGTGACTGAATAAGATCACAGTAAATGAAAAGGTCGTGAAAGCCGT